TTAAAATCATGAGGTTTCATTTCCTTGTACTGTGTTATAACAGTCAGTGAGGCAGGGAGGTTAGGTAAGAAGATTTATTACTGTTTTTGAAAATAAAAACATGAAAAGGTGTATACATGAGTTTATGATACGGGGGTACTTCAAAAAGCTGCAGGAAATGGACTTCAAAGTTGATTAAAAGTTTATTGTTGTGAGCATTTTGGGCAGTGGCTACAGTGCTACTTGGGATACCTGCATCTTTTGTGGGAGTGCCTGGGTTCAAGTTCTAGTCCAGCTTGCTGCAAAATGCACACCCTGGGAGGTAGCAGGTAATGGCCAAGTACTTGGATCCCTGTCATCTACCTGGGAGACCAGGATGAAGTTCCTGGCTCCTGGTTTCCTCCTGACTCAGTCCTGGGTATTATGCACATTTGGGGAATGAACAGCCCACCCCAATCCCCACCTTTAAAATAATGATCATTTTTTTAAAGGTTTATTTTATTTTTTTGAAAGGCAGAATTACAGGGAAGCAGAGAGAGAGAGAGTGAGAGGTCTTCTATTCATTGGTTCACTCCCAAGATGGCCACAATGGCTAGAGCAGCACCGATCTGAAGCCAGGAGGCAGGAGCTTCTTCTGCGTCTCCCACATGAGTGCAGGGGCCCAAGGACTTGGGCCATCTTCTACTGCTTTCCCAGGCGATAGCAGAGAGCTGGATTGGAAGTGGAGCAGCTGGGACTCGAACTGGCGCCCATGTGGGAGGCCGGCACTGCAGGCAGTGGCCTTACCCGCTACGCCACAGTGCCGGCCTCCAAATAATGATAATTTTTTAAAAAAAAAAGAAGATGTTGAGGCCAGTGTGGCACCGAGGATTAAGTTGCTGCTTGTTATAGAGTTATAGCGAGAAGCCAGCATCCCGTATCAGAATGCCAGTTCAAGTCATGGCTGTTCTGCCTTGGATCCAGCTCTGTGCTGATGCACCCGAGAAAGCAGCAGAGGGTAGCCCAAGAGCACTGGGCCCCTGCCACCCATGTGAAAGACCAGGTTGGAGTTCCTGGGTCTTAGCTTCGACCTGGCCCAGTCTTTCATGTTGTCACCATTTGAGGGATAAAGATTTGTCTTGTTTTTCCTATTTCTCTGCCTTTCAAGTAAAAAAACAAATCTTGTGTAGAGAAATTTTGAAGTCCATTATAGTTTTTATTAATTTATTTAAAAAAAAAAGATTTTGTTTATTTGAGAGGTTCCAGACACAGAGGGAGAGACAGAGAGAAAGGTCTTCCATCCACTGGTTCACTCCCCAAATGGCCGAAAAGGCCGGAGCTGGGCCAATCTGAAGCCAGGAGCTGGGAGCTTCTTCCGGGTCTCCCACATGGGTGCAGGGGCCCAAGGACTTGGGTCATCCTCTACTGCTTTCCCAGGCCACAGCAGAGAGCTGGATTGGAAGTGGAGCTGGCATGGCAGCACCGCAGGGAGGCTTAGCCCACTAAGTCACAGTACCAGCTTCAGTGTATAGTTTTTTTTCATAACACACATGTTCCCTGAACTTTTTGAAGCCCCCTCGTAGGATTACAAGATTAATAATGAACATTTAAGGAAAACTATTATAAGCTCTTAATCTAGCTCCAGTTACCCCATGAGCGTCCATCTGCTTAGCCCTCTAGTTCCTATGGTGCTTTATTGCAGTTCTGATGAGAGAGGTGAGAGGTAAGTGGACATCAAAAATACGTGATTTCTTGTCCCTCTTGGCTCTGTGTGATAGTAAAATGTTCCTTAGGGAATTGAACTTCAGAATTGGACTTGGAAACTGCAATTTCATGAGATGTGTAGAAACCAAAAGCAGTCATCAGTCGGTGCCCTTGTGTGAATGTATGCAGCTGCCTGCGACTGCATCCCCCCCCCCCCCCCCATGAGGAGCCAGCTCTGGGGAAACACTGTAAGCCTACAAGTTTCTGTTTCCAGAGCCTCAGAATCTTGAATAGCTACTACATGGTGTAAAATGCAGAAGCTACAGAAAGGCCCCTCTCTTTACACCTTCCTGTTTCCCAGAGACCCACTTCAATGTCACAGAGGCACCCACTGCCAGCAGACTGTGTCTCCTTGCAGAGACTGGCTGTGGAGAGTTTCCTGTACCATGCTTCATGTATATGAAATAAAATAAGATTTTATGTACACACAGGTGAAGGTGGTAGCTCACGGGCTGTCCTGGTGCTCTTTTCAGGTCTCAGTCTTAAACATTTTTGCCAGACCTCCTTCATGCAGTTGCCCTGGGCTTTGGTCCCCCTGCAGGCAGCTGATAGGATAGTTTGCTTTCACTCTCAGCTTCCCTGGCATAGTTTGCCAATTCTTGAATTTTGCCAGTCTGAGGGGAAAAAAAAAAATAATACCCCATATTGCAAGTTGCATTTGTAGTTTTGTAATGACATACCAACGTAGGCAAGCATCTTCTTGTGATGAATTTACAGAATTTTTTCCAGTTCATCTCAATTTGGTTTATGTGGTTATTGCCATAATAAACGTTTTGAAATGTGTATCCATTTATCAATCGGTTCTCTTAAGACTTTTGAATCATTTCTTAGAGAAGCCTTCCCCAGCACTGTGGCACATAGTGGGTTAAGCTGCCTGTCTGCAATGCCCAGCATCCCATATAGACGCTGGTTCATGTCCTGTTTGCCCAGCTTCCCATCCAGCTCCCTGCTCATGTTCCTGGGAAAGCAGCAGAAGATGGCCCAAGTGCTTGGGCTCTTGCCACCGATGTGGGAGACCCGGAGAAGCTCCTGGCTTAGGCCAGCCGGTTGTGGCCAACTGGGGAGTGACCAACGGATGGGAGATCTCTAACCCTTCCTCTCTCTCTAATTCTGACTTAAAAAAAAAAAAAGTCTTGCCCAGTTGAGATTATGAGAGAATTCGTGATTGTGTGTGTGTGTGTGTGAGTTTTGTTTTAAGGGTTTCAAGTCTTTGATCCCTCCTGCATTTTCGGGTAAGGTTAGGAGGGGTGCAGGTTCCTGCTGAGGTACACACCATATGGATTGCACGTACTGCAGTGAGACGGTCAAGTGCAGCTCTCGGGGAAGACTTGTTAACTGTATTAGGTTTTAAGGAGACGTCCTCAGAGAACTGTTGGTTTTCTGTAGAAAACTTGGGGAAATACGGAAAGAAAATGACCACAATTCCAGCACCATAGGAGAGCAGATAACAAAACCTGCGTGACTTAAGTTTCTCGCTTGAGATTAAAATACGAACATGTGTTGAAAATATTTTCAGTAGTTACTTCGAACGGTGTCTCAGAAATCTTGTTTTTAAACCATCGCATGTCTTTGACGAGTTGGAGAGTCGTAGGCCTGCAGGGCCGCCCGGCGCCTCCCCGCCTGCCCGCCGCGGCCCGGCTGCAGCGCCCCCTCGCGGCGGCCGGGGGGGCGGCGCCAGGGCGGGCGTGGCGCGTCACCCTGGGGCTGGTCGGCCGCCAACCCCCTGTCACCACCGAGGGGCTTCGCGAGATGCTCGGACTCCCTGGGTCCCTGGGGGCGCCGGCGGCACCCCGGCGCGGCCCCATGGCCCTGGGCAGGCTGCGGGGCGCAGGGCCACGTTGCGGCCTCTGTTCCCTCAGCGCGCCGCGGCGGGCTGCTGCGAGGAGTCGCGAGCTTCCGGGGTTGCCTCCCCGGGCTGGCCGCTCTCCGTGAGGCCCGGGGGCTCGGCCCTTTAAACTTTGTTTTTTAAACTTGGGGGTGTGGTCGCGGAGCCGCCTCTCTCTGGCCAGTGGCTTGTTCCCGACCCACCCGGCCCTTCCCTCCGCTCCGCCTTCCAGATGCCTGGGAGTCATGAGCCGCGCGGGCGCGGGGCCGCGGCTGCGGGCGGAGGTGATCAAAGGTGAGTGTGCGGGGCTGCCGCGGGGGCCCGGGCGCAAGGTGCCTGAGATCTCAGGCCAGGGCCGCTGCCGCCGCCTCGGGGGGACGCTGGCCGGGGGCTGGGCGCGCTCCCGTGGGTGCTCGGGGACTCCGTGGCCTGGGCCGTGCCGGGTCCCCTCGCGGGACCGGAGGTCGCCGGTGGCTCGGGGCCGGCCACCCACCCGCCGCCGCCGTGCAGTGCAGCGCCGCTGTCGCTGGGTTTAGAGGAAGTGAGGGCGCCCGTTGTGCGAATTGAGTTGCAGACCAAAAAGAAAGGAAGGAAGAAATGTTTAAACCAGGACTCGGGGAAGCGAGCCAGCTGGCGTCCCCGCTCTGCCCACCCGCGGCCGTGCTGAGAGCGAGCGCATGCCGGATTTGGGAGGCTGCGCTGGCTTTGCCCCGGGTTGGAGCCCCACCAGTGTTACTACTGTGAGGTGTTGGTGACTTTCGGGGAGCGGGGGAGGGAAGGGTGTAGCCCCTCCGCTTACCTGCCCATCTTGGCAAACCTCTCTGCAGGCGAGCCCTGTGTGTGCAACACACGCTCCTCTCAGACTCATCCTGCAGAAACCGCGCATTGCTGCTGTTGCAATGATAATTTGCCTAATTGCACGAATCCCCAAGTAGTGAGTCTGAATTCTAAAAAAAGTAGTGGTCCTTCAGAACAGTTGGTTAAACACATAGTTTGTTGTGCTGTGTGCTGGAGCCGTAAGTGGTAATTTTGAAGGGATTTTGAAAGCATTCTTTGTCATTACCTAAAAAGTGGCGCTTTCTCACTGAAACGACTTTCTAGGATGTCTTGGAAAGGTAGCCAAAAGGATCGAGAAGCTAGCCATCCAACGCCGATGCCTGTCAGTCCAGGGGAGCCGGCGTTTTAGGTCAAGTGGTTCCTTCACGAATTAAACCACATCCAACAAGAAAAACCACGTACTACTTCTCAAACGGTGAAACGCAATTTCCCCTTTAAAGATTTGCTCATTTGTTCCCTACCAAAATAGAATATTTTGAAGTTACCCATTACCACCTCTGTCATACAAAACATGCATAGGAAAAGTAAGATTTTGCCTTCATTTTTGAAGAGTTGCATCATAAGTGAAACGTCTTAATAGTCCGAAGGAAGGAACATTGCAATTTTTCCATTTCAGATCGCCTTTGTTTTGCCATTCTCTACAGCAGACCAAAGAGTGCATCAAATGAACATTATTTCAGCATAGATAATGAACTTGAATATGAGAAGTAAGTATTGCTTTTTAAAAGATTGTTGGTAACAGTTTTTATTTTGAAGAGTCTAAATCTAAAGGTATGGTTATAAGTGGAGTAGCCTTGGAAACTTACCTGTTCATTGCTAATTGCAGAATACTTTTAACCTTGGCAAGAAAATAGATCTTTAGGGGAAAAATTAAAATGAGAGAACCTTTCTAAATTTAAACTTTTAGATTTGCTGTTCTGATAACTTACACTGCCATGAGATATAAACATGTCCTAAAGTAAGATTACTGGGCTTTTGGCTAGTGGAAAAGCAAATTTTTGCTTAGAAGTGATTGTCGTGTTAACTGAGGTTAGATTGAGGTGTTAGGGTGGTGCCCTTGTGGGATTTGTTAGTGGGCACTGTTTTCCGGATTGTTTGTTCCACGTAAGGCAGCAGTCCCTTTAAATTGTGTGACTTAATAGCCATTCAGTGTATGCTTTCTTGTCTTAATCTGATCTTGTAGACCCCAAACAGGGCATTTCTATTCAGAGCACAAGAATATACATGTCTGTTTTTATTTTTCATTTTAAAGCTTTTATGCAGATTTTGGACCACTCAATCTGGCAATGGTTTACAGATATTGTTGCAAGATAAATAAGAAATTAAAGGTAAAGTCTCTTTTACTTAAGATTTGACCAAAGTAATCATTGTTCATTAAATCGTGGGGAGAAAAGTAAGGAAAACACACAGTAGTCTGTCCTTCTCTTTGGGGGCTGTCTGTTCTAAGAACTCCAGAGATACATGAAACCACAGGTAGAACCACGCCCTGTATCTCCTGTGAGGGGTCCACCCCCCACGTATAAAAGTACTTCCAAAAGTTTGCAGAAAATGAGATTAAAAGTTAAGCTGTGGTGCAAAGAAAATTTGTAGTCCATCCATATGAGAGGTTTTCAGAACGTTCACAGAAAGTATGTATTATGAAAAACCTAACTGTACATGGATCTCAAAACTTTTTTGCATCAAAGTGAGCCTACATTTGAATTACATTTTCCCACAAACTCTTGAAGTACTCAAAAGAGTACTTCAAGATATAAGAATATACCTATAATAAATTTTAACTTATAAATTAGGCACAGTAAAAGATTTGTTAACAGTAACTAATAATAAAAGAACAATTATAGCAATATACTATAATATTTATTTACTACTTGCAGATTGTTTATTTCTGGAATTTTTCCATTGAATATTTTGGAACCATGGTTAACCTCTGCAAACAGAAACTTAGGAAGTCAAAACCGTGGATAAGGGGGGACTACTGTGTCTTTTTTTTTTTTTTTTTAAGGAAATGCCATATTACCACTGCAGGGATGTTTGGGACATATACATGATGTTTCGTTACTACAGGCGTAGAATAAATGTATATAGAGGTTTTTCAAAAATTGTGGAAAGGCAGAGAGAGAGCGCTCCAAGCTCTTTTGCCTTCCCACATGCAATGGCCAGGGCCCAAAGCTCCCCAGGACCAAAGCTTGGAGCTGGGAACTCAGTCCAGGTCTCCAGTGTGGATGGCAGGAATCCAGCTGTTTGAATCAATTACCACTGCTTCCTAGGGTCTACAGTAAGCAGGAAACTGGAGGCAGCATTGGAACCCAGGTACTCTGATAAGGGAAACAGGCATTCTAACTGGGGTCTTAACTGTTAGTCCAAACACCTACCCCCATTTTCTAGAGTTTTGATTAAATAGTTTAAATTTGAGTTATTTGATTTTCAAATACTTGGAAAGCCAAAGTGGAAATGAAGTGAACCTCTTACTGTGTGACCTGATGGCACCGAAACCTAGCAAGGAACTCTTCCTGGCTGCGGCCTGTGTGCTTTCTGCCTCTGCAGTGACAGGGAGTGCCCACAAACAGCCCCACCCCTGTAAATGAATGCTCTTGCCCCATCAGGGAGCTCCCATGTGACTGTAGTAACTGTGACCTCTCCCGGTGACATTTCATACATGCATATCATGAGGGAGGCGGGGAAACAAGGCAGAGAACATACCACTGAGAGCTATGTGTGCCCGCATGCACACATACACAGGCACACACACACACACACACGCACTTTCACTGATTTGAGTTTAAGATGTGTTTGTGTACTGCTTGCTGGCAGTTCCCAATTAGTCACTGTAGATTCCCTAGTAGAAAATACTGCATTTGGGACGATAACTTGGGGAAGAGGGCAGATACTTTAAAAAAATAAGTTACTGAATTAGAGAGTCAGTCAAACTTGTCTTTAATCAAAAAGTTTAATGCAGTTAACAATGTATGGATCACTTGGCAGGTCCTTTCCTTGAGCATTAAGTCTTAGCCGCTGCACATTCATAGCAGGAGGGACTCTCCTCTAGGACCTCTATTTCCTATCTCTCCTTCCCTTTTTCAGTTGCTGGTGGCAGCTCTTTGGTTTCAGACAGGGCAGAAAGCTAAAAATAATTGCTTCTTCCTGGGACTTTGCTTTGCTTTAATTTTGGAAGGTCCCAGGCCCCACCCCACCCCCTGGAGGGCTCAGCCATCTGTACACTTTTATCCATTGGGTCAGCCAAAAATGTCCTAGCCCTTAAAGACGGAACCCAACAGGTTTTGTTTACTGGAGGACCTGGGAACATGTGGACCAGGCGGCCTGACTGAAGCATGACTTCCTGTTCAGTTAGTAACAGCAGAACGGATGAGAGTTTGAGTGGACAGTGTCTTGTGCTTGTTCTGCTAGATGTCTGGTTGGGTTTCTGTTTTCTTAATGATCTTGGATCTCCTGCTCTGTGTAACAAGTACTGGGAAAGATGTACACATTCCTCATTGAAACAGTGACTTCCAGAAGCCTATAAAGACATGCCTGTTGAGTGGAATATATTCTGCTCCCTCACTCATCCCGGAAAATCGATTTTCACTCAACGGGAGTGAAGCACACGGCCCAGGAAGTGCTAACCGGTCGTGCATTGCTCCACTCATTTTAAAACGCCATACTCTTCATTGGTAAGAGTATAACAGGCATACAGAAGCAAACACAGATCGTGTGAGTACAGCTCTGTGAATCTCTGTAGACTGAATGTCCCTGCGTAAATACCTTGACCCTGACGTCAGGAACAGAGCCTCAGCACCCTGGAAGAGCCCCTTGCACCTCACTTCTCGCCATTACAGCACCCCTGCCCTGGTTACTCACTGTCAGCATCCCTAATATCATGGGTTATTTTTGCCCTGTCCTGTATACCCTTTTATTAATTTAAAGGCTTTTGGAAAAGACCTTTAAAAAAAAAAAGTTGAATAGTAGGAAGAGGAAAGAAAGTTTTCCCTGACCTTGACTGGCTTGTGTCTCCTTCTAGAGGTGGGCTGTGCTTCTAGAATTGTCTATTCCTTCCCCTCCTGCTCTTCAATTACGTTTGTTTTATCCCAGGAGATGGCTTTTGTGGGAAGAAGGGAGATGGTATTTTGGGAGGTGTCGGTGCTAATGTTTTCAAACATCTTGCTGATATGAATACTTAGGTGTAAGACTGGGGATTTGTCTTCATCACGAAGTAAAATTTTGGAAAACTCACAATTAAAAAGAAGATACTAACAGCTGTTTTTTTTGTGCAGTCCATTACAATGCTAAGGAAGAAAATTATTCATTTTACTGGCTCAGATGAGAGAAAACAAGCAAATGCTGCTTTCCTTGTTGGATGCTATATGGTAAGTGCTGAGTTCCTATGTGTTAGTGAAAATGTGCACAGCTGCGGTTCCTTCAGATTTGCGGCTGGAATTTTGAAGTTACTTTTTCTAAGATAATGTCCCGATTTCTTTCCATAAAGTGTATGCCTTGGTTTTTAAAAATGACCAGTTTAGGAAGGTTTATGTTGAGGGGGTTTGGATCTTTCCGTGTTCCAGTTTATTTGGCAATGAGCCTAAAGATGATTTTAAAACAGATCATTTAAAAAATTATGTTATGATCCTTAAAGTTAGCAAAATGATGCCCACAAAGCTGTTTTTATTAACTCCTGATCAGTGCTGTGAGTTGTGAGGATAGGTGACCGGATCAGGACTAATACTGATTAAAGAAAAATTAAGAGTATATCACAAGAGGTATAAATGCTTTGTAACTGAATATAGATAGACAGTTTCTTTCTAACTAAGATCATCTCCTTCGCCTCAGAACATGTCCCTGGGGAACTGAGCAGGTCAGCCGTAGAGGAGAACAGGCACCTCACTGAGGAGGTCACAGGCACAAAACAGGCAGCACTGGCACAAGAGTTAGATTGTTTTTGAAGTCAGGCTTTGTCTACCCTTAGTGGGTTTTAAGAGCCACTTCAGGGTGGATCCCCATCCGTGTGGAAGCCCGCTGTGCTGTGGAGTGGAGGGAGAAGCCGGGGCAGGGGTGTTGCTTCCACTCCCTGCCCCCTACCCTCACCGCAGAGTGAGGGGTGTAGCTGTTACTCTTTGGGTGAGTTCTTTCACTCCTGACCTCCAGTTCCCCACTGGCTCCTGTCATGCCTTCCCCCACTTGAAATTCTGTACTGGTAAACAGTTTGATAATGTGGCGTCTACAACCGTTAGCCCAAAAGTTGTACTTTTGGTTGATACTATTTGAAATTGCTTTGTAATTTCCTTTTTGATGTGTAAGGTGTATCACTAACAGTGACCAAGGCCTTGTTTTGTTTTGGGTGGGGTTGTTTCATTTTCCTGCTTGTACTCACAGAAGTACTCGAGAGATGGGTTTCTGAGAAACCTTCAGGTGTTGTTACTGTCATCCCGGAAAGTGTGAAACCCGGGCAGTGGTTGAGGTCTGTTGAAGTCTCAGTCCTCGCTCACCCAGGCGAGGGAGCGTGTGCACAGGTGTGTGGCTGCTCCACTCTCTCTCTGTGGTTCTTGTGCTTGTGGCTACATCCTTGATAAACATTTTTAAAAGGCAGAAAAGGGTCTGTGCAGTGCCAGGACCCCAGGAAAGACAGCGTATGGTGAGGTGGGTGTTTATTTGGCCAGTCAGCAGGGAGAGGCACCCTGTGACAGCTTCACAGAGCAAGGCATACAGCCAGCAGTCTCATCGTACCCAGAGGATCCCTGGTGTGCATCTTTGAGTCTTGCCTCTGCCTGCCCAGGAGAAAGTCTGGGCAGCTGGGGCAGCTCTAAGACTGGACGCCACTGAGTGGAACTCACACAGCAGACAAGCCCTGCAGGGCTGCTTCCGGCTCAGTCACTTACCTCTGGCAGGTGGTGGAGTCAGAGCCAGGTGTGGTGACTTCACCGTGAAGAACCACTAAGGAGGTGGCTGTGGGGGTGGCGGGAACTCAGAGTTGTCTTAAGAACAAAAGCCAGGGCAGGCGAGGCATTTGGTGCAGGAGTTCCGATGCTGGCTGCTTGGGATGTCCCACCTCCCGTAAAAGTGCTTGGTCCTTCCACTTCCGATCCAGCTCCTGGCTACTGTACGCTCTTGGAGGCAGCAGATGATGGCTCAAGTGCTAGGTCCCTGCCATCCACATAGACCTGGAATGGAGTTCCAGGCTTTGGCCTGGCCCAGCCTCATCTGTTGTGGACATTTGGAGAGTGAACCAGCAGGTGAAAGGTCTCTCTTACTGGCACGCCCCTTCCTACCTCCTCCCCTGCCTTTTGAGTAAATAAATAATTCTTTAAACAAAAAGGGAAATCATTTCTTGTTGCTGTCTTTTTTTAAAAACTGCTAGTGGAGAAACAAAAACCCCTTGATACTTTTGCTGAATGTTTCTTGGCTTATTTGTTCCCAGTTTGGATTCACATTTTGACTGACTCTGTGGTTGCATTTGGCATAGAAGTTTGTTTTTCTATAGTTAATATATTTTAGATTTAGAAAGCCTCCCAGGATCTTACACATTCAGGTCAGTGCTAACTTGATTGGTTAGGAAAATTCCAGGTGAGCTCATGGAGTCATTGACCCTAGCTTTGTACTCTGCTCGTTTCAAAGCTAGATACGATATGATTGGAGTCCAGGACCAGGACTGCGGCCTTTTAGAGCTGCACCCATGCTAGATAAGACAGCCTAAGTATATATATGATAATATAGTAAAACATACATGGGTACCTCAAGAAGTTTGTGGGAAATTAAATTCAAAGATAAGTTTATTGTAGTGCACGATTTTTTGACATCCTCGTGTAGACGTTCATCAGTGGTGTTTGCCATGACCGTTTCCCCTGAAAGCCCCCTCCTATGTCAAGATATAATATAGACGCTTCAGAAGGTCAAAGGGAGGCACAGGCATCCGTGTGGCAGCTGAGGCGCGACCGTGCATGGCTGCACCCCATGTGGGCGTGCCTGGTTTGAGTCCTGCCTCCTCTCCTGACTCCAGCTTCCTGCCGCACGTCAAGTGGTTAGGTCCCTGGCACTCATGTGGGAGACCCGGATCAAGTTCCCTGCTCCAAGACATTTAGGGAGTGAACCAACAGACGGGAGGCCTCTCTTTCTCTTTGCCTCTCAAATAAAATAATTTTTTTAAAAGCCAAAGTGCAGCTTTGATCTGGTTGAAATCTTCTAAATACTGGGATTAAAGATTTGTACAGATGAGTAATAATCCTGTACAAAATTGATGTGCAGGCTTGGTGACCTTTTCTGGTGTTGTTGAGAAATTTTGGAGACAGGCTTTTTAGAGATCGACGTGGCATGGTCATGTTAAGACAAAAGCAGAAGATCTGGAGGAAGAATTGTCAGGGAGGAAATATTCCAAATGGATTCCCTCTGTTTATGTGCCCTTTTAAACTCTGGGCTTCTGAAAGGAGTCTTCTTCCATCTGGCCTCATATGCACAAAAAAGACAATATGGAGTGGGGAGGTGGTGTGAGTTGATCCTTTGAGTCACAGGAATAAAGCATTAGTATTTTTTTTTTTTAATCTTAAAAGAGATTAGGCTTCACCGATACTTAAGGTGCAGATTGAGATACCACTTGTCCTTGTTAGCCCTTCTCTCAGATGCTGAGGCGCCCACAAGGAGTGGGAAGGGCAGTTTGCCTGGTCATTGTCTTCAGCATGCTTGAAAGCATTATGCCTCATATGAACTGGCAATAGATTTACCCGTTCTCCTATCCAATTGGTAGAATCCTCCGTAACAAGTCAGAGCAAAGCTAAACATCTTTGGCACCACTGTGAAAATGTTGAAGAACATAAATGATGCCCTAAGTTTTGGGATTTTCTTTCTTCCTTCGTTCTCTCTTATTGTCTTCCAAGATTAGTTTGCTGTGTTCTGTGATAAGTCAGTGGCTGAAACTTAGCAGATTTTGGGATGGTGGTACTTAACCCATCATTACAAAGCAGAGTGAAATTTTAAGTGGAAACCTAAGGGCTTTTAAAGCAAATTTTTATGTATTGAAAGCACAGTTTGAAAATGGAAGATTATAATTTTGTTCTGTCACTTCATTGTAAATAAAACATGATGTCATGTACAAAACAAATATTTGTACCCTTGAGACATTTAGATAAGTCTCTCTTAAGAAGAAAATCTTGTATTTGTGGAAGCCGGACATGTGCCCATGTATATGTATGAGTGTGCGTTGTACACACACAAACATGCACTTTCTGTCAGGGATCTGTTCTTCCATTTCAGTGCTAGTTTTACCGTCTTTATACCCAGATGGTATTCCCATTTCCCCAGTACCTCACATGGACCACAGGTGAAGTAGCTGTACCCTTGACCTCTCTCCGCTGCCCTCCCACCCCCCATATGATTCTTTCTTGGCAACACTGGCTTTCTGAAGAGATGAGCCCTGTCGTCCTGTAGAATGTGCTACCTTTTGAATTTGGTGGTGAATTTTAGCTTGTTTCTTCATTCTGTATATTTCTTCTGTATGGGAAGTTCTATCTAAAGGTTTGTTTGTTAACAGTGAAGGTTGCATCTCATCAGAAACATAAAATACATTATCATCAAAGGTGGCTAAAAACAACCACTGAACTAGGTGCAATCAGATCCCTTCAGTGTTTAGGGTTTTTCTCCAAAATTGACCTGAAGTATTCCGTGCAATCAACCTTTCATTTAGTGTTTAAACAATTGACAAGACTTACTTGAATAAGTTTTGTTAGGATTTTGCTATATTTATTTGAAAGGTAAAGTGACAGAGAGAATTGGAGAGCCCAGAGGGAATGTAGCCGGGGTCTAGGGATTGGGGGTGGGGTTGGTGTGGAGATCTTCCGTCCTCTTTTTTATTCCCTCAGTGGCCACAAATGCCAGGACTTGGGCAGGCCAAAGGCAGGAACCCTGATCTCCCATGTGGTTTTCCAATGTGGATAGCAGGGGTTCCAGCACTTGGGCCATCAGCTACCTTCCCAGGCACATTTGCAGGGAGCTGGATTGGAAGCAGAGTAACCAAGACTCGTACCAACATTCTTGACACTGGATACAGGCGGCTGCCTAACTGTGCCACAATGCCAGTTATTATATTATTTTAATTATATCATTCATCCTTCATTTATTAGCTGGCTCTCTTTTATGATATTTTAACTTTCCCTCAAACAGATGGGGCTTTTGGTTACCTTGAAGCCAAATTTCCTGATGAAGAGGCAGAATGAATAGTTGTTTCCTTTTAATTAACAGTTTTCATGGTTAAGTGTTGTTCTAGTAGCCACAAAGCAGAATTTTACAATCTGTTTTAAAATCATCGAACAGAGCTTCAGTAGGTTTTGGGTTCATTTACTAAATAAATTTCCAAAGGTAGAGCAATTTCCCATTGGTTTTTACC